TTCGATGTAGGCAGGTTGTGGTGTTGCTGAGGTTGGAGGATGCACCCTTCGGCTCCATTTATGTGGTAACCGAGGCGTAGGTGACCGGTGTGGTGCTCCGCGGTCTGAATGGGGCACTGGGGAATGGAAATTTATTGGATAATAAAGAGAACTAAGTTTTGGTGTATGTCCCCATTTGAAATTGATTTCTTGGAATAATGTGATATGGGGTTAAGCCCGGCTAGGTTCCTAAAGAGCAAGCCAACATTTGTGATGGGTACTTATTGTTGAGAAATGTGGGACTTTCAGTGCTAGCAAAGTATTGTTATTGCTAGCATTTAAATATCTCCAACATATTCCACAATTGTTTTACAATTATGGGTGGTATGACCAGGATATAAACCTGGGCTCTCAGTTCTAAGACAGTGATGTTACCACTGTCCTAACCAGCAAAAATAATGTGATTTTGTGGATTAAAGTCACTCTAAATTCAGCACCTATAGCCAAAGAACGGCAAAACGCGTTTCTGGATTAAAGGACTTTACTTAAGTATTGCTATTTTTATATTGCACTATTTTTGTAGTTTTAGATTATAATAATAAAGTTAATATATGTTTAATACTAACTATCTGAGTCCCAGCACTTATAAAGAAGGTGGTGTGGTCTTCAACTTCACAAAGCTCCCATATTGACCAGGATTTAGGCTCCACTTTTGCGAGTATAACGGCCATTTTATATAAGCTTTTTATTCTTAGAGCAATATCACACTATTCCTGCATATTTTCTATGTCCTGAGATATACAGTTAACTAAAGATACCATATAGGAGAGGGGAACAGTGGCCCAAATACAAAGCTAAAGGTTATACACACCAGGTCTGGTAATAGGTCTATTAGCTCTGGACCATGTGAGAGTTCTATATAGGGTTTTTATTATATGTACTAAGGCTTTTATTTTATTTTTTTAAATTCTTTATTTATGTTAACAGAGATAACATGCATAGATCGAATACATTCCGTAACTCAAACAAAGATTGACATACACATTGTATACAGAGTGTAGTAACTTGTCTATCGCATAACCATGCGGCGGAGGGTGGTCTAAAATTCTCCACCATTGCCCCCTAAACTGATGTATTAGTTACCTTACCTTACTCTCTGATATTGCGAGTTACAATTTGTCAACTTTAGTTTAGTGATTTGTAACAGAAAAAAAAAGAAAAACAAGAAATATTTGGTAACATATGAAACTTGGCTGTTGTACATGTACATAAACAACGTTGGTGTGTGCCCTCCAACTGCCGGGAGCCCTCTGATCTAATATTGTGCTGTGTAATGGGTTTCTCTGTGTCTTAGAGTTAGATAACCTGCAGCGTGTTTCCCACCCTCTGGTCTTTTAAGGGCCCAGTGGGTCTCCCGTCGCGGGCATCATTACGCGCTCTACATGTTGCCGGCAGCTGGCAGGGCCCTCTGAAGGCTGTGGTTTGCGTTCCTCTGTTCACACCTGGTCTTTAAACAGTTTCCGGGTATACGTCTCCCTACACCCTCTGGGAGACACATGCTACACATAATAAGAGAAGAATAGAAGTAGGAAAAAGATAGATAGGTGTCAAAAAAAAAATAGTAAGGTAAGGGTGGGGAGGAGCCGAGGAACCGCATCCATTTGTTTAGCTATCCTTTGGGCCTTAGGTCTACTGGGTGTCTCTAACTCAAGGGGCTATCTTCCCATGGTTCCCATATTTTCTGGAATTGTTTTTGAGTTCCCCTAACTCTTGCCATCAGGTCATCCATCATATGTACCTCCCTTATTCTATTGATGACCCCTGCAATAGGTGGAGTGGTCTGTTTAAGCCAATCCGCTGCCATTGCGTACTAAGGCTTTTAAACTATTGTCCACTAAATATTTTTTTTTAAAGGTGCATTTACCTGTACATTACAGATTAAAATTTAAGACCGTTAAGTGTACAAATCTATTTATTGTACGAAGCACAAATTTGCACTAAACATATGTTGTACCAGAAAGTCAGCCACTGGAGTCAGTTTTTGAAGAGCTATAGAAGAGACGTGATCTGGAGGCCAGAAATGAGGCGTTATTGCCTCCATGTTGGGCCTTGGCAGATGGAGGAGAAAGAGTCGCGATCTGAAGAGACAGCGGTCTCAATCTGGCCCTTATTCAATTATCATTTTTTTAAAGAAATACAAGCCTCTTTTAAAAATAGCTCTAGATTCTGATAAGACAATCTATTTGGGCTGTAAATTCCATGTATTTACTGTTCTTACTGCAAAGAACCCTTTCCTCTGCTGTAAGTATAAATGGTTTTCTTATCTGTTGTATATTCCTGCTAATGAATAGGCTGCTGGAGTAGGGGCCTGACTGCTCTGCCGGACAGACACAACAATACAACCAGCCAACCTTTGGTCTATCTGGTAATATATACCTTTTGGCAGTGGTCTTTTTCGAGCAAAGTTTTGGCCAATTTGTGCAGCACTTATGACAGAAGGACCTTATGGTATCATACTCACTTACCAACATGGCTGATGATCGTGAGATGTTGGACATCACAAGATATCACCAGAACCACAGATGGCTTTTCTAGATGCCTTTGACTTATTATGTATTAACTTGTGTACAAAGCTGGTTCCTGAAGAGGTCTCATGTGGTAAGCACATCTCTTAAAACAAAATACTTAGAAACTTCATTTTTTTCTCAGACTTTTTTTTTCCTCTTGACATTCTTAATTGGCTATTTGCCACACTAGTTCCTATAGTAACCTTTATTTCTATGCAAGTACCATGTATGCAATTCATATAATACATCGCAATCTGCTATTGCGTGCATTCAGTAAACAATTCTTTTGTTTTATAAAAATTTGATTTTGTGTGCAACCAGTTCTCGGAAATTTTTTTATTGTCCAAAACGAGTGGTTGGCTTGTCCATAATATTTCACAAAAGTGTTTATGCATGATTATCATAATATTGTTGCAATTTGACTTGTCTGTATCTTGCAATTACCCCTCAATAAAACAAAGATTGACAAAAATGTAACAGGTTTGCATATAGTGGATTGTACTGATCCTACATTGATTTGTATTGTGCTATTTTATTATAGCAAAATACAAATATACGTAGGCCCTTCAAGGCTCTTTTTTCCCATTTTTCTTAAGAAAACAAGTGCCGTTTTCTAACCGTTTTTCTTACCCTTTAATCATTTCATAGTTTGCCTCTACTCTTTCTAGTTCTGCAATATTCTTTTGTAAAATGTATACCAAAAATTGCACTGTGTATTTTTAAGGTAGATTCTTAACATTGATTTATAAAAAGAAAAATTATGCTATGATCGTATGAATCAATAATCAACCCTTTTTTTAATGCATGACAGCACCTTACAAGTCTTTGTTATGGCAGACCTGCATTGCACACTGATGCCTAGTTTGTATATAATGGTTCTCAAGTTCATATAATGTAATGCCTAACTCATTCCCTTCTGCCTACCCTGGCTGGTTCACAATTTATTGGACAAATCAATGGAGACTGATACACAAATCTATTGAGTCCTTTTTTCTTTACTTGACCTACATGTTTAAAAATTATTATAAGCAGAAAAGTGTTTTCCCTCATTTTTAACATTTTATTCATAGTTCATTTTATGTTTACATAAAAGAGCGCAGCTCTTGCCGCGCGTGCGCATTCAGCCGACGGGGAGGAACGGAGGAGGAGAGCTCTCCGCCCAGCGTTGGAAAAAGGTAAGTTTAAACCCCTTTCCCCCTTCCAGAGCCGGGCGGGAGGGGGTCCCTGAGGGTGGGGGCACCCTCAGGGCACTATAGTGGTCCTTTAAGTGGTCACAGAGCCCCCATGTTAAGAATATTATGAAGTCTATCAAGGTACTAGACCTGCAGTATGAAGGGACAACTTTTGTGCTCCGATCACTTAATATCTCAACTGAGGATCAAAGTAAGGAGGTAAGGATAGAGACTTCTGATTTGGAAACTAGTTGTGATAAAAGATAACGGTGCAGCCTACGTCAAAGATCTACCTCACCATAGTAACACTCCACCCCAAGGGTGCGAAACTACCTAACCATAAAGGCAATCGTAGTGGTAAGAGTATAACTTGCACAAACTCATCCCAGGTATCCTATTGTATCAAATGTTAGACTTCTACAGCCACAAAGCTTAACATGCCAAAAACAATGAAACTGAATAGCTTTTCTCTGCAAGAAACTGCATCTCTATTTAAGCAAAGTAGATTTTGTTGCTTAAAGGACCACTCTAGGCACCCAGTCCACTTCAGCTTAATGAAGTGGTCTGGGTGCCAGGTCCCTCTAGGATTAACCCTTTTTTTTTTTTATAAACATAGCAGTTTCAGAGAAACTGCTATGTTTATAAATGGGTTAATCCAGCCTCTAAATCCTCTAGTGGCTGTCTCATTGACAGCCGCTAGAGGCGCTTGCGTGCTTCTCACTGTGAAAATCACAGTGAGAAGACGCAAGCGTCCATAGGAAAGCATTGTAAATGCTTTCCTATGAGACCGGCTGAATGCACGCGCAGCTCCTGCCGCGCATGCGCATTCAGCCGAAGAGCAGGATCAGAGGCGGAGAGCTCCCCGCCCGGCGCTGGAAAAGAGGTAAGTTTTAACCCTTTCCTCTCCCCAGAGCCTAGCAGGAGTGGGACCCTGAGGGTGGGGGCGAGTATGTTTTCCTGGCACTATAGTGGTCCTTTAATATAGCATGTTTACCTATTGTGTTGGCATTTTACCATTACATTTAGCTCTCAAATATCCTATGCAGAGCACTGCATAATGTGTGAGCAGAGATTAAATGTGTAGTGATGGTAAAAAAAATAAAAAAATAAGATATATTCATTATCTTTCTTAAAAGGACCTCGTTCATCCAGGAATGAAAATCGTATGACCAATAGAAGGCTCGTTTTCTTGTTTTTTTTTTATTTCTGTAGCCTTTTTCTTCAATTAGTAGTAGTTTTATTTATTAGTTCAGAATTTAAATAATAAATTCACACAACACAATTATTAGCTGTGCTTTAATGTTTGTTTTATTTAGGACTTAATCAGAGGTCTTAATACACAGCAACAATTATTCCAAAAATAAAACAAAACAAAAAAAAAGTAAAGAAAAAAAATCTGTTTTTCACCAATTCTGGAGGCTGAGTGATGGCACACGATAAAACAAAACTGGTAGTAAAAGACCAGGCGAGTTGACAAATTGGCTTAAGATGTCTTGGTCTCCTACTTGTTCCACACATTTGATTTGTAGGGTAACATCATGCCAGTCTTGTAAAGGGCAGAACACTTTAGCAAGAGAACGCAGTTCTTATACACATCTGATGCATTCCAGGCTTGGGGTGAAATGGAACTAAATGTCTTTCCAGAGACAAGCAGAATTCTCTGAGATGTCAAGGGTGGCTTCACAATATGTAAAAATGACCAAGCACTCTTGTCCACTATCTTTGTGCCCGTATTATTGCAATGTATTCCTTGTGTAAGAGACCAAGTGTCCAGTACCATAAACATTGGAGTAACCACCCAAGTCCAGCAAAGAAACCAACATCATTAGGCATAGAGGCATTGTCATAGAGGTCGGCCAGCATTGTTACAAGTGGTTACCTAAATGTTATCATCTATATCATTAGTTATAAAGCGCCAACAAATTCTGCAGTGCTCTCTCTCTCTTTATTATATAAATATATAAATAAAAGAGCTGCTATAGTGTAGATCTTGCAAATAAAAATAAAAAAATCTAAATCTCTCTTGCACATTGCAAAGAAAATTTCAGATTCCCTGTACATATTTTGTTTTTGCTTCTTTCAAATGCCAGTTTCATTTTTTTTTTAAATGTTCTACCAACCAGCCTGGTTGGTTTGCTCAGTGGAGCTAAACGTTAGAGGCACCGTCCATGCAAAGACTTCTCATTGAGCTGCATTGGGAAGTATGTGATTGGACAGCCATAGAAAGTCTGGGTGGGGTTAGAAGAAGCGGGCTTGCAATGGGTTCAGGCAAGAGATCTTTTTTTTTTTATATATAATTAAATGTGCACATATTTTAATTGGGGGTATATCTACTAAACAGTGATTTTGGGGGGTGACGGGACAGTGGAGTGACCCTAAATGTCTTCTTTAATTAGAGGCCTTTTTACAATTCAATATTTTGGCATAAACTTTGCAATTCATTGTTCAGTTCACCACAATTACTGTTTAGAGGATAAACTCTGTTTATGAGTAATGCCATGGTAATTAATTGACAACACACAAGTGTGGCAACTGCATTTTACAGAAAGAGGAAAGTTTAGAGCATTTTATTAACTAATATGATAACTGAAATGTGATATTTATTTAAAGGGAAAATATATAAACTGGCAGCATAAGATGTTCCCTCTTAATAAAGCTGAGCCAGCGATTTTCTTATGTCCTTATTCTAAAATAAGATGAGAACCTGGTGAAAAATGCAAACGCACATGAAAGCTGCTTTTAATATTGGCATTTTGGCTGACAACTTGCTTTCCCAATGAAGTGATCTACCTCGCTATCTAACCTTTGGCATTGCTGCAAATGTCAAAGGCATTCATTTAATATGTAACCCTTTAAATGGCAAACATTACAGCAGGCTTTATAAGCTAGGTTGGATTTCTAAAGAGTTTGTTACGATTTGAATTTGCGGATATGGTCTTACAACAACCCTTATCTTAGCTATGGATGCAGTCCCTCTGTGTCAATTCCATGTACTGGAAAGGTAGCAGTGGTTTGACACAGCCAAATCCTGCTAAACCCATGTGCTAAGAGCTGCAATGCTCGGTCTTAGTGCAGTATATATTCCACTTTATGAAATCCAAAGCAAAGAGGATTGGCAAGAAAAGAACTGCACCTACAACCACTCTGTAGTGGCAGTGCATAGAGAATTCCTTTAATGATGGTGGACAGTCTATGCTACCAGACGGCTTAAGAATCACATTTTAAAATGTGAACCCCCATTTAACTTACAGCAAGGCTGCATAGAGATGACAAACGATAAGTAAGGACATTCCTTGCTTGGATTAGATGGGGGAAGAGAGTAGGGACAATGGTTGATGATGGTAGAGGGTACAATTTGGTCCTTAATGGTTTCCGTGTGTGAATACTTGAAACTGTTCAAGTTTACACCTTTATTTATTGCTTCATGACATTAGGAGCTGTTAGTAAGTTTGTGAATTCATTAAATATAACAAAAAAGCAGCCACGTCTACAAATCCAAGCTAACACCACATGTTTAGAATTGGACTTTTATAGATTGTATTTGAAAATATAAGATGCTTATGGAAAAACAAATTCACAGGGCAGAAGAAAATGTCTTTGTATAATTGCTGTATATCAATTTCACATTACATGGTACTACCAGTTTTAGCCGTATTTTAGTTAAATGCTGTAAAAATAATGATGCCTAGATAATGTAATTTCTCATTCATAGCATCCATCCTAGGTAATTAAAGAAAAACTCATTAAAGGGGCACTCCAAGCACCAAAATGAATGTGCTGTTAAGGTTATGGTGCTTGGAGTGTCCCTTTATATGCAGACTGATTAAAGGAAGCATTTGCGATGTATCTCTACCTAGGTTTACATAGTGTACTGGAGCTAGATTAAGGTAGAAAATAAAGTGAAAAGTTCAATTACATCCAGAAGCAGAACTTCTGCTGCTAAGCAACAGCATTTAATTCTTTAGAAGGTTTATGAAATGAGAAAAATCTACATGTAGACCATCAGTAATGTCTGTAGAACGGACATAAGATATATATCAAGACCTGATAAGTAAAATCCCATTCATTTTAGAGCAGCAACAACCTGTATAACTGGAATAAAATAATAAAAAAAGAATGCAGATTAATTTAAATTCTCAGCAATTCTCATCAAGATTATGCATGATCAAATTCTCGTTGAGATTGAGCATGTCCAACATTTTGTACCTTATTAGATTTAAATTTGAAGGAAAAAAGTTGCAGAATGTACTAAAAAAAAAAAATGAAAAAATAAATAAATAAATAAAAAATGATACTAAATGCACTATTCCATAGACGCAGCACAGTTGGAAATGGTACTTTGGGAAATGGTTGATCACTGTAGTGAAAGTGCTATAAGCTGTTCTCTAAATCCGAATCCGTTATGAAAACGTCCCATTATTTATTTATTTTTCTGATGCACCATGTGCAACGCATTAAAGCTATGTAAACAGATCTTAGTGCTGTAAAGATTTTACATGTAAAACATCAGTCTATGCTTGGTAAATTGATGGAAAGTTGAGAATGCTGTGAATGTAATCTTATAAGGGGTCAAACACCAAGGTTTATTTACATATTAAGTACTAAAATAGACTGCAGAGCGCAAAATGACTAATGCATACATCCAACGTGTCCCAATGTTGGGCCCAAGTCCCTCTATTCTTTCACAAAGTTGTTCTTTTTTTAGGAGCTCCATATTGCTGCGTTTCCTGTGTGTTTAACAGAGCTCCACAGCAATAATACTCACATTAATGGGATACCCCAGGCACCAATTAAGTTAATTAGTTGAGCATGCAGAAAAAGACAGCATATTAATGAGGCCAAAAGCTATCAAATGTAATAAAGTAGTATTGGTCTCCAAAGTGTGTCTTTAATGTACATTTAAACTACAACGACCGAGTATGAAATCAGTCTGTGTAAATAAGCTACAGTGTTCTAGTTCGAAATTCAATTTTTGGTGTATAAATTGTTATTCGTAAGTCACCTAAACATTTTTTGGAATGGTTTGCTCATGGACACACCCTTGACATTAAAGTGTTCTTTTTGTCTATTTGAAATGTTGTGAGGTGCGCCAATGGAGTAAAAAGTACCTAAATTACCATTTGGATTGTAAGAAAAAAGGAAAAGCTTCCAAAATACGTTTCAGCCCAACTCTATTCGGAGTCATCTTTGGCTCCAACAGTGCTCATGCCAACTTTACTGTCTAACACAGATCTCCATCTGGTCTCCTTCAAAAAAGGCCACAAAAGAAGATTGAAAAGGGAGTAGTAGTCTGATAGTAGATTGAGGTGTAAAAGTTTTTTGTGTTTTTTTTTAGGAATACATCCACCATCTGCCAAAGTCCTGCAGAATATAATACATGGCAAATTTACTCTACGTATCACTTTCAATGTATTATAGAGTAAACCCTAGAAAAGTCTAAATAAAATGAAAACACCCTCCATTTACAACCAACTCACATGATCTGCAGGGACCAGAAAATGGCTGACAAATCTCAGACATCCCTGGTCTTGCTTTGATTTACATAAACCAAGTCAGTTTAACTTACAAGTTGCTAGTGATGTACAGATCCATACCCTTATTTTGCGTGCTATTACATGCATTCTTGTACCTCAAGATATTTTTGTGCAACTAGTGGTGTATGTTCTGATCTCATAGCAGCTAATGGACTTTAAATATTAACGTGCAAATAGCACACAACAAATTAGTTATCTATGATATTAAAACATAAACAGAAATTTTTATTTCAGTTTGTGTGTCATTCTATGTATTTATATAGCTAGATACATTTTGTAATATACATTTATATATGCAAAATGTATTTGTATAAATGAATATGAGTTTCCTCAGTAAATCCTAGATAGATCTGTGTTTGGACTGCTTTAATTGTATTTTCTTAGCCTTCATCTTAAATGTATTCGCATGAGTCAATGGACTGAGTTGTGTATTTTGTCATATATACATTTTCACAATGGACAATATCCTAGCAATATACATACAGACTGTAAGCTCGTTTGAGCAGGGCCCTCTTCAACCTATTGTTCCTGTAAGTTTTTGTAATTGACTCATTTATTTTTAAATCTCCCACTTTGATAATATTTTAAAGCGCTACGGAATATGCTGCCGCTATATAAATACCAGTAATCCTAATAAAGATTATGATAAAACCACCACGTAGAAAATACACAATGTCATAATATCCAAATTGAAATATATGACAAAGATCTGGATCCTAGGATCGAGAGTCCGCAGAAAGAGAACGGAAAATGTCTACTATATTCACTACAGCTATAACCAACATATACTTAGTTCTCAATCTCGTGTGACAATACCCCAAGAAAAGAGAATTGTCAGTTTAAGGCAATTTGTGCTTACCGACATCTGATTGATTGTACTAACCACAGTGACAGGCATGTGGTCTTCAATGAAGACTAGAACGTTGTAGGTCTTCACACATGCACTCATCATTTGAGTACCACTTGCTTCCGGTCACTTGTATCGTATTATCCCAGTGGAAGTAACACGGATAACAGTTAATTATTAAGGGGAGAGTTTACAAGTAATTGTCACCAGATATGAGAAATGTATAACTGAAATTAGATTGAAAGAAAAAAATGTCGCTAAGCTTATTCTCAAAAATTCACAGTGAATTTTGAATTTTAAGATCGTAGCCAAATTGGAAACATATGCGAAGATGGCTATTTATTTAGGTTGGCTTTGTTGGCCTACAATTTGAAAATATCTTTGAAACCCCAACAGTTCACAATTTATCAAATAACCGTGAATGATGCTTTAAGGAAAACATGATTATTATGTACACGGTTTTAAGAAACATGTAAAGCAAGTATTGGCAATAAGATTTGCTGCAGTATTTCCACTTAATGGACATTAATCAAGGATTATTACATCAACCATACTGAGTCAAATAGATCCCTCTTATTTACATTATTGGATCATGTTGCTGCCCTAAACTTTACTTAAATGCCCCTCTCCTGAACCAGGAGTATTTCATAAAAATAGAATCTTTATGAAATATTCATCTTGACGGTGTTGAAATTTCACTGAAATTCTAACCTAGTCAAGAAATATACATATTAGGGACTACTTTGTATATGTATAATTCCATCACCAGACTTTCTTAGACGTAGAGCTACAGTCAGTCCCGCCGGTGGTCACCAGAGCAGACCGAGGAAGGTGGCGGCAGCCGCGAAGGACAGGTTCAGGTGAATCTCTTAGTCCCTCTTTTAGATTTTCTTCTTTAAAACGCTAATGTTGCTGTTTTGCATGTGATATAAAAAAACAACTGTTATTATTGTCATTTTACGATAAAGTGAACAAAACAATTACTTAATCGAAAGGCACAGAAGCTTATGTATATATTCTAGAAATATAATGAATTACCCGTTTTTTTATTCCCAAACTTATAAGCCTAAAATCCTAGGAAGTGAGATTGAGGAATGGGTTGTGCTTCATAACATAAGTGTATGATCGCTCAAAAAACAAACCCAAAGGGGATCAAAATTAGAGATCAAACTTATGGTGCAAGGTTATCTACTATCTATAAAAATGTATTTCCAATCTTCCAAAATGTCTTGAGAACACAATGTATTGTTGGGGGTTTAACTACAAAGCACACTGTGTTCAAATATATAATCAAATACTATTGCTAATAAAATGGAAAGTAAACACAGATCCTGGATCGCACACAAAAAGCAAAAGGAGACCAATCCACTTTTTACACAGTTCCTGTAATGAGAAACACCTGTGTGTGCGCAGAGTCCTTAAAAGACGTTAGGAAGACTCTGCAAGCCTAAAAAAAGATTTTTTTGTTTTGTTTTTAAATCAGATTTCTTTTGTAGTTCGTGTGACAGATATAGGCGTTATAAACCCCTGATATGAAGATACGACAGCATTTGCCCCTAGAACTACTAGTGACTACTTTGTTTTTTTTGGTTTTCATATTGATTTGGTAATCGAACCCTTTACTATGAATGTGTTTATATCCGATCCTAGTGGTGTATCTTTAAGAGACAGATTTTATCTTTTACTTTGGTTTTCATTTCATTGCTATGAACATAGTCTCTTTCTGATCTCAGAAAACCTCTTCAACTAGAGATCTTATGTACTGGTAATATAAGAAGGTGTTAAGTCGGTCAGCAAAGTTACACCCTGCTACAGTCAGTTCATAATTCCACTATTAGCAGGGATGTGGGATTTACAGTGTGGAATATAATTTTAATCGTTATTTTTTTTTTTATGAATAATGAAGTTATTAGCTTCTCCTTTTTCTGATCTGTCTATATATTGGATCAGGTTTTCTTCAGTTGTATCTTAATATCTGTCAATTCATTAGATTATTTCCCTATTTGAGGGAGAATTTTCAACACCCATCATTGAGATGAGACTCTAAATTTAACTTTTTTTTTTTTACAAAGCAAGAAATCTCATACATTAAAGGGACACTAAAAGCACCCAGACCACTTCCTGTGAATGACGTAGTCTGGATGCAGTACCTGTCTGTTTAAGCCTTAACAAGGTGCTTCTTCTGCTAAAACAGAGTTGAAACTCAGTTATGGATCAATTGCTAGTCATAGAGCAGCATTTGATTAGCTCAGTGGCTCATTTTGACACACGTGCCCTAGCCTCCCAGTACTTCCCTATGGGGAAGTATTTGATTGAGTGAGATCATCAACACTAATTGATCTCAACCATCTGAAAGGTATTTCTTTTTCAAACCCTCATACAGGGGGACACCAGAATGCATTGCAGGACATTATAGCTTTAGGAATACAAGATTGTATTTATAATGCTACAGTGTTTCTTTAAATAAAAAAATTTGAATTTAAAAAAAAAAAAAAAAAAAAAAGCTTTTAACTCCAGTTTATTGTCACAAAGTAGATTCAAAGGAAAACATTTTATGAATTTCACAATGTTTAAATTGTTTTAGAATTGTAAGTAATTAGTAAGCTAGTCTTAAATAAAATGGCTTTAAACCTCTACCTACAATCATAACATAAGTCTAGTGATGCTTGTGGCAGAAATGCTTCTCCCACGTGTTCCTGGAGGGGACTGCTTGCTAGCCTCCTGCCCCAAGACTATGGGCCATGCAAAAGCCTGTTAAAAGACTTAGTTTGTGCCATTTTCCTATGCTGTTCGGGAACCAAACAGGCACACGAACCATGGACCACCCGGGAGCTTGTTAAGCCCTATCATCACCTCTTAACGATTCTAACAGCAGTGTTCTAATTGTTCATCTGGGTGGTCGCAGTTCGTATGAACGGCCATGAGGTGGCGGCCATCTTGTTCCTGCGAATGCAGGCAGTGGTGTTTGGTCGTTGAGTTCATGGAACTCAAATCGGACACGGAAACTCCCGAACACTGCTGGACTTGGAGTCTCCATGTGTGGACTTGTTGCTTTTATCATTTTTTGTATGCAGTTGATTAAGGCTGTATGATCTTTTATCTTGTTGTAACAAGTAAAGTTTACTTTATTTTTAACTCTCGATCCTGCCATTCTTCTTTGGGTATCTTTGAGGAGAAAACACATGGAGACTCCACAGCCTGAATAAGCTAATTATTCACTGCCATCTAAGCCAGAGCCTGCTTGATGTTTCTCTGAAATGCGTGAGTGACCCAAACCTCTGTAATAGATTCTGTATACACATATAACAGTATTATGCTATGATTGTTCTGTGTTATTTGTTTCAGATTAAGAGGTTCCTCATGTATAAGTATATTATTTAATTTGTTTAACTATTGGGCACCCTCCATTATCTGTTTTTTTCTTTTGACACTTAAGTGCCTTTTAAGTGATTTTAAGCACTGAGGGTAGTTGCACTCTTGCTCTTGCAGCGCCATTCCACCTCTATTTTATCCTGCTTGGATTGAATACTTGTATATCTACTATTTTTGTGCTTCAACAGCCACTTTCCTTACTCGAATGGTCAACTTATGACACGTACCAGACACCAATTTCATTTTATTGTTCAGTCTAGAAAAAAGCCTGTCATCCCACACATATCAAACATACAGCCTTTGTTGGGCTCCTTTGTCTGAGAAATTATGATTCGTTTTCTTTTAAATAGTAGCTGAAAAAATTAAAATGGAAGGCAATGCTTGATTTAGATACTTAATGCTCTGTATTTTCTAAACCAGACCATGCCTCATAGCATATAGTGTATTATATACAACAAGAAAGGTATTCTACCACATTCCTGTCGAAGCTAAAGGTTTTTATCAAGACTAAATCAAAAAAATAAAAATAGGTTCGGTGGTAAAATCTATGTTTCTTATGTTTGCAGTTTATTTTTAATTGTCTTGGGAAATAAGTGCTTTAAATATCATGTTAAAAAGGGAAATGTATTGATTTTATCCCCCCAGATACCTTCACATTTATATTTGTACGTTATGGTTCATTAATTGTGAGTCACAGCAAGCAGTAAATGTTGATTATACTCTGATTTTATGCTGTGCAATTGAAAAAGTATATATCGGCAGTTTTCTAATATACAAGCAGAACCAGTACAAACTTTGCATATCAAAGGCTCCGAAAAGTATATCCCCAGATCTTTTAAAACTACAGCTTCAATGATGCTCTGTAATTTTAAAGGCATTCCAAAGGCATCATCTGGGGCTCTACCTATTAGAGGCAAAACTGCTGTTCTTTACCAAGAGATAATCTTATTCCATCTAACAGATTTTATCTGTAAGTATTCCGTCCGTTAAAAGCCTCCTCTCTCCGTCAGTGTTACCAGCTTGTAGAAAATGTTTGATAAAATATCGGTCTGTGTCAAGATTAGCCATCGGTGCCCTTAAATCTGCAATCCAGTGTGCTTGTTTAACAAAATACTGCAACAATCTTTTCAAATAATCAGCAATAGCCTGTTACAGAGAATTATATATATTATTCTGTTTATCCCTTTCTAATTATATATTTTCTTTGCCATCAGCTCTAGCCAATCAGTAGCACCCCTACCAGGCAATGCTCCTCGCTTTCTGAAGCCGAATTCAGCTAGAGGACCTGGAGATCAGGTGCTGGAGGCAGCCTTTGGTGATAAACTGTTAAACAATAAACGGTTTAACCCATTAAGGTAAGGTCGTCCGGTGGCCTCCAAGCACCATAACTTCATTTAGATTAAGTTGTTATGGTGACAGTGACCGGAGTGTTTCTTTTAATATAGACTGTTGCTGCATAATATTTTGATTACCTAATATTTTGATTATCCAAATGTGCCAGTTTTACACTTCTAGCCATACCAAGACCAACATTGTGTAATCTCAATCCAACAAAAGGCTTAACAATGATTCAGTTCTAGTAGAATGAGCAGTCAGTTTCTCTTCTGTCAGTGCACATCATGCACCAGTAAATAAATACAAACATGACATCAATCTGCTTTCTGGCACTCTCCTACACAAATGTTTTCTATGGAGAAACAATTTCACAACCTTCCAAAATAATCAGCCTGAAAATACATGGAAAAAAGGTTGACAAAAATACTGAACATACTACATACTGAACATCTACATAAAAGCACAACACGTTGCGGAGTGTGCATGTCAATGTGGCATTTTCAGTGAAATCAGAAACCTGTGTAGGTGCTGTCCGCAGAACATTAAACTATGAGACTTTGCAGCCCTGGTTATGACTAACTATACTTTTAATCATTGGCTGCATTTTCAGAAAACATGCCATTCAATTATTAAAACCTACCATTATCAGTTCTGTGATTAATGGGATTGGGATTATTAGAAGGGGAAAAGGTTGTATGATACCTTACAGAAGTACAATGGAGTTTTCAATAAGACGGTATAAAGTAAATGCATTTGTACCTGTCTGACCTTTTCAAACCGGTATAAAAACCCCTCCCTTATTTATGATGATTTACAGTGAAAGCTGGTGTCATGTGTGCTAAACAAGCAAGTATTTGCACAAAGGATTGCAGAATACAAACTGCTGAATAACTGTATGTGTAATAGAACATTGTCAGGGAACATCCAAATATTTGGTAATGTGTATGAAATATGTAAAATGCGTCAACATCTCAGAGATTTGAAATTCAAAGTTAATTACATAGGTAAATTTATTTATTTAAGCAAACTCTGGACTCCCTTAATAAAGTATTTTACTTAGTGTTCATTGTGGCAAAGAATGCAAAAACCACTACGCAAGAAACTTCTGCATACAATATAACAATGATGGGCAGAACAAATAGCCTACCACAGGCAAATATTAATTTGTTAAAATTGTGCAGCTTTGAGGAATCAGGTAGAGGCTCAGCAAGGGCTGAAGAACAAAATGTGTAAAAATTTGAGTCGTACTTGTCACTGGTAGACATTCAATACTATTAATAGCTGGATAAAATTTGGGGGCAGCATGGATGAAAAGTTAAGACAGGGATTATTAATGCATTGGAACCTGCTTAAGCTATCAATTTTGTGCCCATTCAACAAACCTCTCGAGCCCAGAGCCACTCTTAGCAGCAGGAAGATCACTTTTGTTCAAACGACTTGAATCACTATTTCTTTAAATGGAAAGAAAAAGAAAAATAGGGGGAGGGGGTGGGAGTGGTTCAATCACAACGATCCTCTTTAGTCTTTTCGTTTGGCCCCCCAGGGGCTCATTTAAATCTGGGAAACCCTTGACGAATCCGGTTTTGGAAGTTTTTTTTTTTTGCCAGGGCTCATTTGGTCATCATTCAGAATAATGCATGATGGACTCCACATAGTTGCCTGGAAAGAGCCCTGTAACCCCATTCATTACACCCTCATACCACCCATCATCATTCTTCTTAATGACATATATGATGGCTCCTTCTTGAAAGGAGAGTTCATCTTCTTTGTCTTTCGAATAGTCATAAATTGCCACAACTAAGGGAAAAATAACAGAGATTTGTTAGTTATTACAACTTCGAGTACACTTCATATAGTTACTGTACCTACTGATAATTTCTCTTACAGACTCTTAGAAGGCTAACAGTGTTGCGGTTTAATTTGTCTTAGAACTATTAATATAACTTTATGAAGTTTGTAAAAATATAATAAAATTTAATTTGATGTATAGGAATGAATGTCTAGTTTATGTTTACCAGCAGAGAATGTTGAACACACCTCTGTGCTTCAAGTGGACTTTAGGGTGAGGTCCGCGGACCTTCTGGTCCAATATCTCGTAAAACCAGGTGGAATAGTTATCTCATGGTCCTGTATTGTATTAGAACTGGAAACCCATAAAGGGACACTGCAGACCCCTAAAGCACTTTAGCTTGCTGAAAAGCTTTATGTGTAAAGTGTATCCAAGTTTTTTTTCATTTTGCAAAACGTGCGAATACAGGATGGAGGAAAGGGCTACTCAAAGGACACACTTTGGTTTTTAGCAGGACTCACTTGCACAGTGAAAGGTTGAAGCATGTTTATTTACACCTGTTAAGCAGGAAACATGATATTTAGAGTGCAGTTTCAAATATAATATACAAATGTATGATCTACTCATGGTGGACTGAATTCACTACAACTGTTCATGTAAATGGAAAAAAAATACGAGTGTGTTATGGAGAAACACTCACAAAACCATCAGGGCAAGTGGTAGGGCATTACATTATATGCATAGAATAATAACAGATATATTCTCACAAACTAAAGGAACACAATCTGTTCTGATCGTACCCTTCTCTAAGTAAGTCCTTGGAGCCCAGGGTGGATCTTCCTCAGCGTATGGATCACTGTACTCCACAACAGCAGCTTCCTCCTCTTCATAGTCCTCTGGAGGAGGAGGTGGAGGAGGAGATTCATCAAACACCGGCTCTTCTGCAGGAGGAGGTGGAGGTGGGGTCTCGGAAACTGAGCAAACAAGAGACGATTAACAGACATCAGCACCGGTCATCAAATGTCATGTGTGCTCCTTATAGATCATCCTAACACATACAAATTTTACTTAAGAGAGACAGTGAATGTGTGTGTGTTTATATATTTTTATTTTCATTCAGATTTCAAAGTAGTCTGTATAGGTGTAAATGGAATTGATAATACCCACTATGTGAAATGCTGTACCTATCTAGTAAACTTATAGGAATCAATAAATATTCCTTTTTACCTCTTTACTCTTACAACTTCAATGCCCAAGTGTGATACAGACTAGCCAGTCAATGGCTGACGTTTTCATTTAAAATGCTCTGGACTAAGCCTCCAGTGATTCTCTGCCAGACGGACGACTGTCCTGACATCCAGCTGGAACGCAGTATGGGAAGATGTAGTCCATAGCATCTGGTCTGTGGCAAATGTCACCTTTTGCTATGCATTATAAAATGTCCCTTCCAATTTTGTAAAATATTGCTCCCTAATTGTAATATGAAAGTTGTGTGGGGTTTTTTTTGTTTTGTTTTTTTTTTGTTTTTGGGGGTGGTGGGGTGGGGAGGGGAGAACACTGAAGTATAACAATGAAGCAAATAAGTATTTTAATCAAACATACTGTTTTCTTGAACTCTAGCCACAAATCCCATTAGAGGTAACTGGGGAGTCACCTGCAGGATAGAGGGAGGAGGTGGAGCATGGGACACTGTGAAGAAAGAAAACAATTGTCACCATACATTAGAACTAAACAGAGAGAACACAAAATATTTAATCCGAAAAAAGCAATAATGAATAGAACAATCTAGATCAGGGACAGCCCACTGCGGCACCCATGATGTTCATAAACATTTCCCATGATGGTCACGCAGCCTAAAAACCATGGGACGTGTTATTAAGTACTTCCACCTAGATTCATACATGTATTAAAATAAACCATATTAGACATTGTTTATCCCATTCATATAATCCAATGTCCTTTACTCAGCTGGCTATTTAAGGAGTAATATTTATTTCCCCCCCGTTGTTAACTAAATGACCTTTGTTGATAGTTTTTGCTGCACTAGTTGGCAGCTATACCTTCTTCTCTGCTTGCATTTCCTGAAACATGCAGAGCCAGAGCCTCTGCCGTCGCTGCTAGTGACAGCTAGTGGCTGACAGAAAATTTGGAAACGTACCATAGATGTACCCCATGGGAGCGGAGAGTGGCTGCTTAATGGTAGTTCCTCTCAGAAAATAGATCTTCCTGCCAGGGACAGCAAAGCCTCCATGTTGCAAGAAATGGAAGCAGACAAGAGGGAAAGAAGGCATAACTCCTAATGTACAGCACCAAGATGCATCAGCAGTATCATAGAAACACAGGACATTCATTTAAAGAGTCACTGAATGCTTTTTAACCTTGACTTCATTTAAAGGGAAAAAGCATGCAATGACAATTAATTGCTACCGATACCACTGCAGTTATTAGGACTCTTTATATTATATAAAGATATTTGAAAAAAAATTTATACATTTTTAAATGTTATGGTGAAATAGAAAAGCTGCCCATGCCTAGGTCTGCACAGTAATATTTACTAGATACAGGATAAGTAAAAATCAAAGAACATACAAATGATTTTACAAAATGCTAGTTAGCCAGATGACAGGTCAGAACCAGGCCAACCAACACATTTCGTGTTAATTTAACGTTTACCATTAAAAAAGCTACATTTTAACACATTTAATATATATAAATATTTCCACCACATTCCACATGGTGCCAGGTTTCTGCTAATGGGGGCAACAATTCATAATTAGGGTGCATGTGTTTTTTGTTTTGTTTTTTTTATAAATCCACATATTTGGTTTCAAATCTGGCAATTACTGCAATCAGGAATCCCTCAATGTACCTGTACTGAGCATGCAAAAGCAGCCACCATTGATTTTAATAAGTGAAAAATGCATGCACATACAAACATACAGGTCCCTCTATCTGACAAACATCAAATGGGATGTCCAACTTTTCTGGATTTACAAAATGTAATCCACAGTTTTAATTCTACTCAAATACCATCTACTTGTTGCATGTTTGAAAACATTGTGCCTTCGAAATGTAAGTTCTTTCTTATTGATTTATAGTGAGACAGATTTACTATGGAATTAAATGAATGTCCCATCTATCTAATTTCTCTGTAACGTATCTATTCTACAGTGATGAATAGTCAGTTTATATAAAATTAAAAAAAAATAAGCCTGCAGGACAGAAGACAAATAGGCAGGCATAGGGTTATAATTAAATAATCCTAAACTCAAACAATATATTACAGTAATTAAGTGAAACCTGTAGTTGATTAGGTCCCTCGGTTGCATTCAAAATGAAATATACAAATTATGGTAGGCATAAAAAAAATATGTTTTAAAACCACATCACTTTGAACAATTATAAGCAGTTTTTAATTAACTAAAATAAGTAAAATGTATCATTCATGTTCAGTTTATCTTTGATACATGCACAAAACATGCTCTGAAAATGAACTTCTATTCTGAGAACATATCAGCTTTGAGGCTGGGCCAACA